AATTTTCTAGGCAAGGGGCCTGTGTGGTGGGTGTGGGACTTGTTGACAGGTGACACATGGTGGGGGGGCTCATGACAAATAGATCCTTGCCAAACTGGCAGACTTTCCCAAATGGAGTCCCCCAAGCATCCATATTAGACCCAAAATGGTTTATTATCTTCTTAAGTGATCTGGATGATGAGATGAAGCATACCCTGAAGAATTTTGCCAATGACACCAATCTACGTGGAAAAGCAGATACTTTGGAAGGAAGAGCCCACCATGCAGGAAGACCTGGACAGGCTGGAAGAGAGGAGGAAAAAACCCACTATGAAGCTCCATAAGGACAAGTGCAAAGTCCTGCATTTGGGAAAATATGTGCAGCACAGGCTGGGGACCAGGTGTGTGAAAAGGGATCTCTGTGGAAAAGGGACCTGGGAAACCTGAGGAGAACCCAGCCTGAGTGAGTGACCAGGGTTCTGCTTCAGCAGGAAAAGACAACAGGATGCTATGTGGCAACAACAACAGCATGTGAATCAGAGGTGAAGTCATGACCCCACTTTGCTCAGCATTCCTTGGGGTCACACCTGGAGCACTGTGTCCAGGTTTGGTCCCTGTTGTGCCAAACAGAGCTGGCCAGGCTGGAGAGGCTGCAGAGAAGGGCCACAAAAAGGATCCAAGGGCTGGGAAGTCTTGACTTGTGAGGAAAGGCTGAGAGACCTGGGCTGCCCCAGCCTTGAGGAGAGGAGGCTGAGGAGATACCTCCCCTCATGCTCCACTGCTTTAAGGGTGGCCACAGAGGAGGTGGGGACTCCCTTTGTGCAAGGAGCCACGTGGAGAAGACAAGGGCTGAGGGCTCCAAGGGACTCCTTGATCCTTGAGGTCTCTTCCAACCTGGGATTCTGCAATTCTGTGAGCTTGCAAATTAAGGAATATTTGTCCTAAACAAATCATAGCTGCGGAACATTTGTTCTGATTATGTTTAGACACTGCAAGACAAACAAGTCTGTTGCTGCCATGCAAAGAAGAAAACAAATGGAAAGCAATTCAAATTTTAATATAAAGTTAGTCATCATGTGTGATGGAAAACCCAGGAACTGAAAAAAGCCTTAAAGATAAGAAAATTTATCACCATCTAGCAAAGTACATGAGAAAGCCAATATGATTTCTTGATGGTTTAGTTCCAGTAAAATGAACTCACTTTTAAGTATACTTCCTGAAAATATTACCTTCCAATAGCAGAAGCTGCAAAACCATTGACATATTAAAGACACAAGGAATAGGAAATGTCTATGCTTTATGAAGATTTATAAATGATATATTATCATGGCATCACATAGTGATGCATCAGTCGATCTCTGTCAATGATGAATTGGGTTCTTTAATCAATACATTTCTATTTAGATATATTACAGAAAAGAAGAATTATTTATAAAACAGAAATTGACCATCCAAACCTATATTTCACATCGTGGTGGAGTAAATATACAGTCTTTCCTTTGATAAATTTACAAATTTATTTAAGACAGAAAAAATAAACAAAAATATTAATGAAATAAAATGTAATATTTCCATGCTATCAGATAGCACAGTCAGAGTTCAGGAAACCATATACATGGTCTCATAAAATTCATCATATTTCATTGAAACTATTCATCAAATAGTGTTTTTGCCACAGATTCTCTGCTTTACTTGGAAGTTTCATAAAACAATTTTTGATTTAACTCTTCATTTTTTCACATAAGTAGGTTTTAACTACACCATTTTTGCAAAGAATTACATGGTAGCAGTTTTGTAAAATTTCACTTCAAATTTGATAATTAGTTTCACATTTCATATACGCAGACTTTATTTTTCCTTATACACTTTTGTTTTCAGCTTTCCCACACAAATTACCACATCAGAAAAACCTTGGTCATTAATGTATCCACACTATGTGTTCTCTAAATTAAAGGCCCCTTAGGTTGCACAAAAAAAAGACCATAATTTAACTACAGTTGCCTTTGGGTATCTGAAAAAGGCATTTAAACATGTTTCTAGCAAGCAACTACCATGCATCCACAAAAATGAAAATTTTCTGAATTTCCTGAAATTTTTTTTTGCATAATATATTTTACATTAAGTGATGAGTCTACAAATCACCAAGTACACAACAAATGTCATGTTCTCGCATTTTATTTCCACCTCACATTTTAGCAGCACAAAGGAGGAGGTGACTATTTTGTGCTTCTTTATGTGAAATCTTGTTTACTCTTTTAAAAATCTTTTTTCTCTGTATAATGTGTTACAGATCACCATTTTTCTGGGCATTAACATGGATCCTGGCTTGATTTGTACCTTTATTAATGAGCTGAATGATCAGGCTCTGCATTGTTAGCATGAAACAGTCAAGCAGGGATGAGTCATAAGTTGTTTATCTGTTATATTAAATCTTATTAATTACAGAAAATTAGGGCTATTTAAAGCTCAAGAGGGTTAAAAGTGCTTTGGGGATACATAAAATATGACATAGAAGAACTGAGAATGAAAAAAGTGACTTATGATATACTGTAATATTATGAACTAACTAGTACATTATATAATTGACAACTGTACTTGTACAAAGGTTTCCCTCTCAAGAGGTGCATTTGTTTTGGAGCTTCTTTTTAAGTTTAAAAGAGCTGCAAAACTTTACAATTTCATTTTTGCAGAAAAGACTGAGGAAATTTTAAAGTCCTGAATCTAATTAAGTACATATTAGGAAACTTTTACGAGGCCATCAGAACAATCTTAAGACAACATCTTAATCTAACAGTTAATCTAACAGTTAACACTGCTGTTGGAAACTGTCTGGAGTCATTTGTTCTGCTGGGAACCAGAACTGTGCTCAGGTAGCTCACAAAGCCTAACAGAACAAAATATTTTCAAATAATCAGATGGTTTGGGCTGAAAGGGACCCCAAAGCCCACCCATTCCCACCCCAGCCATGGCAGGGCCAGCTCGCAGTGTCCCAGGAGCTGCCAGCCCCAATGTCCAGCCTGGCCTTGGGCACTGCCAGGGATCCAGGGGCAGCCCCAGCTGCTCTGGGCACCCTGTGCCAGGGCCTGCCCACCCTGCCAGGGAACAATTGCTGCCCAAGATCCCATCCAGCCCTGCCCTCTGCCACTGGCAGCCATTCCCTGGCTCCTGGCCCTGCAGCCCTTGGCAATTGTCTCTCTGCACCTTTCCTGCGGCTCCTTCGGGCCCTGCGAGGCCACAGGGAGCTCAGCCCAAATCTTCTCCAGGTTGAACAATCTCAATTCTGTCAGTTTTTCTTCACAGTTTCTTCCATCTCATTTTGTGTCAGAAAATACCTCCTGGTATCCTGAAGCCAGACTAAACAACTTGGAAGGCTGAGGATGAGGGACATGGAGCAGTTCCAGCTTCCCATGAGAAATGACATGTCTTGCATTTGGCTGCCCTGCTGCAGATGTTAGCTGCAGATGTGCTGCAGCCCCCACTGCCTCCAGAGAGCCGCCAGCACTCTGAAGTCTGGGTAGTTCCCTACATCACCAGTCCCTTTATTTTGTTCTTTTCACACTGTTTAATTGCTCCTAGATTTTTTTTCCCCCAAGTCCTGCCATGTGATAGAACAGTAAGTGAAACCTCTGACAGAACTCTTCCTGTTCAATTTTCCCTTTGTTTTCTTTTATTTAAAGAAACAGTTCATATCCACCCTCTGTCTGGGTGGATAATTATCCCTTATTTTCCTAGCATGTTCTACCACTTTTCTTCTGACTGTGGATTGGACTCGGGGACACCAAACATCACTTTCTATCTCCTTCATAGCCTTCCCTGATTGCCAAGCCCACTCAGATGAATGGCAGCTCTCCTAGGAACGAGATGAATGACATCCATCAGCTCATCAAATGGACTTGGACACACCCAGACAATCCAGAGACAAAACCATGTAATCTCCTCTTCGTGTCCTCTGCTTTACTGAGTGCAACAATTCCTGCACAGACATGGTGAGTAAAAACATTTCATATGGAAGACAAGGAAGTATTTTCTGTCCTTGCCATTTTTGCATGAGTCTTGATCCAATTTCATTCTAAGGGATCACATTCTGCCCTCTCCCAGCCCCTAAATTCAATCCTGAGCCCTCTCTCCACAATGTCCTCCTGTGTGACACCAACACACATCTGCAGCACTGGACTGGTAAGGTTTTCCTCAGCTGTGAAACCTGTTGAGAAAGAAGAGAAAAGCTACTCTTCAATTGCTAAGTATTTGTAAATCTTAAGGGGCTGTCAAAATACAACTAAAAGCAATTAGAAGTGTCCAAATAACAATCTCTTTGGCTACATAGCTTATGTAAATTTAGGCTTAACTCAATACACCATTAGACCTGTACAACTAAGACCTCTATGTTCGTAAAATGCACATCATGAAGAAAAAAATGCCACATAAATCACTGAAGTGTTTGATAATAATATTTAAAAGAAAAATTAAAATTAAGTCAAGGATATTTTCCCTTCTCTAGAACTGGTGCCTAGAGAAGGCTGACCTACAACAGAGGCTAGACATAATTAAGAACCAAGTATGTATTTATTGAACAGCCTTAAAGGATTTTAAGGCATCAAAATGTTGTGAAATTTAACACAGTGGTTTTCATATTTAACATTTTTACGCTTTATATATTCCCAAACTAAGCATGCAATACTGAGAGATTACTATTTCAAGATTCTTTTTAATGTATTTTTTACATTTTTCACAATTTTTTTCATAAAATTTCCCTCTGCTACATAGCTACCACAACAAAAAAGACACTTCAGCTCTGTAACATTAACCTCCACCGGCATCAGATTCATGCTTTTATATTGCTCACTTTTTTTAAGGCTTTTGGTGATTTTATCAACTTGCCTGCAGATGTGAACTAGGTTCTTTGGTTGTTATTTGAAGAAAAATGTTTAGATGCTATTCTTTGTTCTCATTAAAATAATCAGAAGATCTCCAAGGGGATATTTTTAGTTTTAAACTAGTATGTGTAAAGGTCAGGTCTAGATTTTTTTACTACAAAAGAAACACAAGAACTCAAAGAGAAGCAATTGATATTTTCCAGCAATTACTGTGCCTAATGTGTAGAGCTATTCATATGGAAAGATTTCCACACAGTGTCATTTTCCTGGCATGCTGTACTTTCTATGTAAATACTTAAAAGCGTTATTTGTTCAAATATTTCCTGTTCCTGCTTTTTTTTTTTTTTTTTTTTGTCCTTTCAGAAACTTATCAGAACATATGTTCTCCCATTTAATAACATTCAGAGTGTTTCACAGTAAACACAGGCATGGCTTTATTCACTTTTCCTTCTCCTTTGCCTTTGCTTTCCTTTTTCCCTTCATTTTTCCTTTCCTTGCTCCTTTCTCTTCTTTTTCCCACTTCCCCCTCCTCCTCTCCCCTTCCCCCCTCCCCTCCTGATGAAGGGACAAGCTCTCGTTTGGGTATCCAAGGCCATTTCTTCAGGAACAGGAACAGAGGCTCAGGGACTGGAAAAGCTCCCAATGGGTTCAGGGACGAGACAGAGAATTGGCTGGAGGGCACAGGGTTAAATACGGTACAGAAGGGGCGGATCTGAGGGCCAAGAGCCAATAGGGATAGGGTAAAGTGGTGCAGGGACGTGGCTAGGAACCAGGGGAACCAATAGGATGACAGGGGTGGAGCACTGCAGAAAACAGACCAATAGGAATCAGGGGAAGGGAGAACTTAATTCTGGGGATTAACCATAATCAATTAACCATAATCAAGTTATGCAAGTGGGGGCAGAACATGATGATGTAAGCTTAACAAATCAAGAAGGGAACAGACTTAACAAAACATTAACATATACTGCAAAGGCCCATGGCAGGGAGGTGTTTTCTTACTCTATCCTAGAGGGGCGTCTCTTCCCGTTTACCTCTGCCCCTCCAGGTTTGAGGTATGACCGCCCTGGTGGCAGGCCCCCTGGCCTCCACAACTCCCCCTTTCTGTTTAAGTAAAAAGGCTTCTCCCATGGATTTTTGAAAACACTTAATACAAAACACAGCAATACAATCAGTACTATAATAACAATAAACAGAATGTAGAAAAAATTATTCACTAGTGATAAAAGCCAACCCTCATGTCCCCAGTCTTGGAAAAGCCTGCCTGGATCTGGCCTCTGGGTACTTGGGTGGTCTGCAAATGAAAGAAACAGTAATCAAAAAGCTGTACTTGGGGGGAAAACTTTGTGACAACTTTCTTTGTCCTAAAATATCTGTAACTTAGGGAATATCGATAATCTCCTCAGATAAGTAATATTGTTCAAGTCCACTAAAGCAGTCCTTCAGAAACTTCCAAGAGAAATTCCTGTGTGTCTAAAGCCAAGTTCTGCTCTCTACCCAGAAAGCTGTCCCAGGGATCCTCCTCGGGCTCCAGTACCTCCATTTCCATGTTTTATGTCTTGTCCTGTTCATTCTTTCTGTCTTCCTTATGATCATTCTTCCTGAGCTGGTCCTATAGCTTCCACGTTTGGTTTTAAATTTTTCACTGGGATCCCCCTTGGGCCTGCCCCAGGGGAAACACAAGCATACCCTTTCCCCCAGGTGATTAATGGGAAAGGTCCCGTGACTTGTTTGGTCTTGGGGTCCTTGATCAGCACAGGTGGTTTTTCTATTAACTGGGTGTTGGTCAAAGTGCTGAAATGTCTGATGAGTGGGGGAGTTGGCTCCATGAAAGAATTGCTCAAGAAGTGGAACACATAAAGAGCGTTCACCAGTCTCTCAATGGGAGATAGTGTCAGGACTCCCCCTCTCTGCTGATGAAGGACCTGCTTGATGGAACAGTGGGCCCTCTCTACAATGGACTGTCCCATAGGGCAGTGTGGAATGCCCATGAAGTGCCGTACACCCCACTTTTAATTTAAAATTAATCAATCAATTTAAAAATTGATGGAACTGATGTGAGGTGTAGGCAGGGCCGTTATCTGTTTTTATTTCTTGTGGGACACCCAAGGTGGAAAAGGCTAATAAATAGCCCTTGATAAAATCTTTCTTTTTTTTTTTTCTCCAGTGTGTGTGGAAGCAAAGACCACGCCGGAAATTGTGTCAATAGAGACATGGATGTACTTTAGAGGCCCAAAAGGGACATAATGTGTCATGTCTGTCTGCCAGAGCTGGAGACTCTGCAATCCTCTTGGATTGACTCCAGCTCCAATAGACGGAAGGGAATATGATTGGCAATTTGGGCAGGTGGCTATGATCTCAAGATCTTAAACATCCATACTAGTGCTGGCACATTTTGGTGGAAAAATTGATGGCTAATCTTAGCTTATTCAAGTATATTTGGTAGGGTGTTTTGAGCCACCATTTCTAGGGTGTCTGCTTATTCCTGGGACCTTGTGTGCATTGCATAATAGGGATGCTTTCTGTGGGATGATATAAATTAAGTGGCAGAGTAAATCATACAACTGGGGATTAGGGCTATCTTTTAGGATTGAATTTTCAGCTTGCTGCACTGCACCACAGACATAGGCCGAATCTGTAATTAAATTAAGTGGTTCATCAAATTTGGAAAAAGCTCTGACTACTGCGGTGGAATCTTGAGGGACCCATGGATGATTTACACATCTGACTTCCACTGCTGGGTAGTTGCGTCTTTCCAAGTAATAACAGACTTGTCGGAACTCCCAGACTCATCTGTGAAGACATTTAGTACTTTTAATGGAATTTGGCTATTTTGAGGTTTAGGGACCAAATTGAAGGCTGAATTAAACAATTTGTATTTTGGTAAGTGAATGGAAAGTTGTCCAGGGTAGCTGTCTAGAGTGTATTGCAGTGACTCAGATGTTTGTAAAAGCCAATTAAGATGTTCATTGGTAAGAGCCAGGTATATATTGTCAAGGTCCATCCTGACTACGGTATAAAGGTGAACCCTAGCTTTTATATCAATTGTGCTATAATTTTTAGTAGGGTGGTAATGGTCTTGTGAGGTTGATGGGCTCTAAAAACCCATTCTATAATCATCAGGGGATCTTGCAGGTGTGGGTGCCACTGAAAAATCAATGCATGAAATTTGTGACTGGTGCTGAGAATAGCTGAGGAAAAGAGTAGCTGGGGGCAATACCTGTGTGACTGTTTGGTCTGGATGGTATCAGCTACCTTTTCTACTGCCACCCTGGCCTCTGGTGCTAGGGATTACGGAGCATTGAGGTCTTCATCGCCCTTCAGGAGATGGAACAATGGTGCGAGGTCCTCGGTGGTGATCCCCAGCAGTGGATGAACCCAGGTGATGCTCCCACAGAGCTCATGTAGTTCCCAGAGGATCCTGGGCTTGTCCTGTAGAAGCTGGGGCACAATGGTCCACTCCACAATCTTGAGGCTAAGGTACTTCCGAGGGGCAGCGCATTGAATCTTTAATAATCTTTAATATTAATATTAATATTAATACTGATAATATTAATACTACTACTACTACTACTACTACTACTACTACTAATACATAATAATAATAATAATAATAATAATAATAAGTAGGGTATCTCAAGCAAATGGGTGACAAGATCCAAGCCATGAACCACTGGCAGATTGTGGCCAAGTTCTTCATGCCCTGGGGCAATAATGTCCAGTGGGACCTCTGTAGTGGTGCCTGTCAGTTTAGGGGTGGGACTGAAAAGGCAAAATGGGGGGCATCTTCTGGGTAGAGTGGGATCTTAGAAAAGCAGTCCTTTAAGTCAGTGATCACCAGGTGCCAGTTTCTGTGTAGCATGGATGCTGAGGATAGGCTGGAGGGTACTCATACCCTCAATGACCTCACTGATCTTTCTGACGTCCTGCAGGAGCCGCCGCCCATTCTTGCCAGGCTTTTGAATGACAAAGACAAGTGTGTTCCAAGGGCTAGTGGATGGCACAATATGGCTGTTGGACAGCTGCTCCTGCATGAGGGACTGCAGCACCTTTAGTATTTTGTCTGGAACAGGCCACTGATCCATCCATATGGGTTTATCAGTCCTCCAGGTTAGCTGAAGGGTGGTGTGCTGCTCAGTGGCCCCAACTAGAAATCCTAGTAGTGTTGTTAGGATTTCTAGCCTTGTCCCCCATTGAGATAATAGGTTCCTTCCCCAGGGTATTACTACTGCCTGAACCACAAAGGGTCTTACTGTGACTATTCTACCCTCAAGACCCTTGAAAGGGATGGTGTCCTGACTCTGAAAGCTGGTGGTAGCTCCCCAATGCCTGACATGACCCCAGCAGCTGGAACAAGGGGCCACTCTTTTGGCCACTCACAGCAGGAGATGATGGTGACATCTGCTCCAGTGTCCAACAGTCCTGAGAGGTAGGTCCCCTTCCTGTTCTGGGACAGGACACACTCTAAATGTGTGTCCAGGGCCCAGGATTTGAGTCCATGTGAGCAGCAGGTCAGCATGTGTCTCAGTAAAGTCTGGTAATAATTAGGCTTGGGCGATAGCATTACCCTATGGTATAAACAGAGGAGGGCTCAGGCATAAAACCTGGACCGTTATCTCTTGTGAAGATGTGACACTCAGTACATCTTGCAAAATTGTGAGTCACTCTATCCCATCCCACGTGTCACATAAAACAAAAACATCCTGGGGCCAATCTTCAGGCCCATACTTGCCCGTAGAGATGGTGCGCATAAAACTGTCCTCAGTTTGGATGGAAAGGGCACTTACCAGATGCGTCTGGGTTCCTGGCTGGACCTGCTGTACTTCAAGCACCCCCGTGGTGATGGTCCCATCCCAATACCTTGAAGGAGTTCTGCATGCTGGTTCTCCACGATGGTTGGGAGAGTACGGCGGAACAGACTTGCATTTGGTGTCATCGCGTGAGGCCACTCTGCACTCGGCTGGAAGTTTCCTGGAGGCTAGTAAAGCCACGGGGGATCGTGTGTGTGCTGGAGTGGCTTGCATCGAGAACAGTGTGAATAGCAAGGAGGGCATGCTGAGAATCAGGATCTGTTATTTCCTTTATTGTGACATCCTTCCTATAGTTGTGAGTCCTTCCTATAGTGTCCTCTCTCCCCAGAGTTAATGCACTGTCCTTTGGTGTCATCGTGTTCGGTGGTAATTGCCTTCGCGGAGACCAGTGCTTCCACTGCACCCTGACTGGCAGCCTTCACAAGGTTGGTGTCCCAGTCTGATGTAGCTCAATGGGGCAGGCCTCCACCATGGCCACAGTGGTTGGGTCAGTGTATAGGGGGAGAGAATGTAAAACTTTCCAACAGTCATTATTAGCGTTGCTCACAGCTGGCTTTTTCAGCAGCTCCTTGGAGTGTTCCGTTTGTTGATTGCCTGTGTAAGGCAATTTTGGTTTAGGTTTACCATTTTGGGTTCCCCAGCCAATGTACCAATTAGTGTAGTGGGTTCAGCACTGGCTAAAATTGCCAGTGCACCTGCTAGGATTATTGACTCATTTCCTGCTGTGAGACATGAATTAGTAGGAGGATGAAGCAGGCTCAAAACTTAAAAGTTATAATGAAAACTTTATTAAAATAACTAAAAGAACCATGAGAATCAGAATAAAACCTTCAGAACACTTCTCCTCCCTCCCTACAATCTCTTTTCTTTCTCACTGACAATGTAGAGACAATACCTGGGATTTTCAATCAGTTACCACCTCTGCAATAGTCTTTCATCAGTTCTTGCAGGGAGAGGAGTTTCTCTCACCATGCCAGGGAGACTTCTCCACAAGAAACAGTTCTCTTGTGTTTTTTTAATTTCCATGAATAGCAACCGCCTGGAAAATCTGCAATTGTGAAGTTCCTCCAAACTTTCACAGCCTTCCCACAGCTGACTTCATAGACCATGTCAACTCCTGGGGTGCTATTTTAATGACGAGCTGCTCAAAAGCAAAGGTTCCCTTCATCTTTCTCTGAGATCATCTTCATCTCTGTGAACAGAAGTCATCTTCTTGTTTTTCTTCTTGTTTCCCTGGGAGCAAAGGGTCTTCATCACTCTCTGTCTCTCTGTCCAAGCTTCTCATGGGATCACAGCTACTTCAAGATCTGCTTTGCTTCATTATGGATGCCTCTGCTCACATCTACAGTTTGAACATTCCATCCTCCTGTTCTTTTTCAAGAATTAGAGGGGATATTCTAGTGTATCATAGTCCATCTCCATAGCATTACCACAAGGATTCCAGCCCAAGACTAAGGCGTCTCCTCATGCTCCTTCCATCTGGGCCTTGACTCCTTAACTGACCTTGGTGCCTTCAAGTTGTCCCCGACATGTCTTCACACATTCCTCTTCTCTCACTCGAGAGAGGATCAATGTTTTGCAAGTTTCATCTGTGCAGTGAAAGAGTTTATATCTCGCCCAGGCCTGAGGGCAGTCCTGTGATCTCTGCCGGGCTGCAGCTGAATCTGCTCATAATGGAAGTTCTTCTGGGCTGCGCTGGGTATGTGCTGAGATCTCAGGGGGCCCGGCTGCTCTAGCAGCATGGCTGGTCTCTGACCCCTGCCTCCTTCAATTTCAGCTGCGGGTTGATGGCTTCCCCTCCCGCTGCCTGGCAGTCGCTGCGGCAGCGTGGCCGTGGCCAAGGGGGCCTGGCCTGGCCCAGAGCCGCTCCCAGGGCCTGGCAGATCTCAGCTCAGCACGGGGCAGGGCTTAGGTTAGGCAAGGTATGAGCAGCTGTGGGTCAGCCCAGCCTCAGCCAGGCCCCATGGCCTCTTGTCCCCAGCCTGGTCACCGCTGGGGCTGGCCCGGCCTGGCCACACAGGTCACAGCACAACAGGGCCGGCCTGACCAGCACGCAGTGACCTCCTCAGAGCCAGAAGCAAGAGAGAGATTTCCTGGCTTCTCCATCATCAAAATGCCAATCTCACAGAGGCGGATACAGCTTTTTAAATGGTTTAATAGCTTGTCAGTTCTCAGAGCTAGCCACCTCTTGGTTTTTGCTAGGCACAGAGGAAGCTCTCAGAAGCTTCTCTGTGAAAAATCATTTCTGTGGGTGGCTTCTTCCAACCTCACCTCACCAAATGTCAATTCATGCAAAACCAGCACAACCTGTTATTCCTATTCTCATATCATTGTCTGAGAGTGCCCTAATTTCAAAAGGATAATAAATGTGAGGGAGGGGGGGTTGCATTTTCCATTGCAAAGGAGGCTCCTGCCTTAGTTAGCAGGCCCCTGTCTTTCAAACGAAGACACACACGGGATCCTTTTGCACCTTCACTCGGCCCCAGCCGCTCCTGATCATTTGAAGGTGCTGCTCAGAAGAAGGGGCAGCAATCCCCCAAGGCCTGGGCTGCTCCAGGCCACTCCTGGTGCCTCGGGCTGTTGGAGGGGTGCCGGGGTGGCCTTTGTGACACAGGCAAGGGGTGCCGGGGTGGCCTTTGTGACACAGGCACGGGTTGCCGGGGTGGCCTTTGTGACACAGGCATGGGGTGCTGGGGTGGCCTTTGTGACACAGGCACGGTGCGTCAGGGCCCTCGGTGATGCGGGACCTTGTGATGCCCAAAGTCCATTGTGACATGGCAGAGCCCCAACCCTGGCTGGGGGTATATAAAGGGTTTGTGGGGCCGTGGGCTGGCCAGTCCTAGAAGAGCGGCTGTGTCCAGGTACCTGTGTGTGCCAGAGGACTGCAGACATGGAGGAGAAGAAGGCAAAGCCCAACTCCCAGCCCCACAGGCCCTGGTCCGGCTCACAGAGAGCCCAGGCCTTGAGGGAGCAGCAGGAGGAGGCTGAAAGGGCAAGGAGAGGGAGGAGAGGAGCCTTGGATGGAGACCGTCTCTTTGTAAGTTTCTACATTGGGGAAGAGCCAGAGTTCTCCCGAGAGGAGGAGAACAAATTCCAGCAAGGGACTCCGGGGGAAGCTCATGCTGAGCCACAGCTGTCCCCAGGAGATGGCCGTAGCTCCCAGGAGCTCTCTCATTGGGATGAAGGCCTTGACAAAAGGCTGGACCAAGAAGAATCCGCGAGCTACTGGGATGTCTCTGACTGGGAAGAATGCAGGGAACAAGGGGTACCCCAGGGAGAGAAAGGTCGCTGCCTGAAATTTCCACACTGGGAAAAATCTGAGAAGCGGTTGTCCCCAGGAGAAGGCACGAGCCGCCGGGGACTCTCTGACTGGGATGCTGGCCACAAACAAGAGCTGTCCCAGGAAGTGGCCAGGAGAGACAAAGAAACCTCAGCCAGGCAGAAGTGCATTGGCCAGCAGGTGACCAGAGGGAAAGCAAAGAGAAAATCCTCCAGGTCTAGCTGGGATGATGACAGTGATGAAGAGCTGGAGCAGAATGACGGGGAATACAGCAGCGACCTCAGTAGCCAGCTCAAGGCCTGGCAGCGGGTGTTTGACGACTGGCATGAAGCAAGAATCCTGGATGAAGAAGAAGAGGCTAGGCCGCAAAGACTGGGGGATTTAGAGGGACTCTCCTTGCCTGTTCCTCGAAAGGTTTGGGTGGAGCACCATGAAGCTGAGCCA